GGAAATCTTGCACCGCCTCAGACAGAACAGTTGTCAATGTTAAGAAGGGGGTGCGGTGATGCGTCGTCACGTCATTGAAAATGCTTATTCTGCAGGTGGTGCAAGATTTCCTCCATCCACAGTATGACCCCTGTATACGCACTTACTACTCATTCCTCACAAGGTCCCCGAAACCACAGGGTCCAACTTGAGGATCTCAAAGAAAATTCCTCTCGTAGAGTCCTGAACCCTACTACCTGCATGGGTTGAGGGTTTAGGGGTTTAGGGTTTAGGGTTCCTCTACTACCCCCCTTTTCTACTTCCTCATGTAGGTTCCCCCTTAAGCAAGTTTTTTCAAAGATAGCTAAGGCAAATTGAAGGGGAACCTCTGGGCGCAGCAGATCAGGGGAGTAACAGGGGTCGCGAACACCCTAAACTCCTATATGCTCTGTCACTCAACGCTTAGAGGTTCCAAGGACATATTTTCCAGCTTGGCGTTTCATGCGCGCGGCTAGGGTTTAAGGGTTTAGGGTTTAGGGTTTAGGGGTACAGACCATAAAACCTTAGTTGAATCTGCGCTAGATCTCTGCACACAAAGCTGTTCATGTGGTGGTAGATGCAAAGCTAAAAAACCAGGACACCACTGGACGTCAGGGTTGGCGACTAGGTGCAGCCCAACTACAACCATATTGAGGGGACTTGACTATGCTTGGCTTGAAAAATCTGGCACAGTGACCGCGAACCTCCGGGGTAACCCACTTGAGACCTCCAAAATGTCACTAGCCAAAACAGAATCTACCCAAAGCCCAAAATCCTAAACCCAACACCTCAGCCCTAACGACAACATGAACATCCTGGGGATCCCTAACGATACCCCTACTTAAGAAGCCTTTGCAGGGTTTAGGGCTTAGGGTTTAGTATAGGGTTTAGGGTTGAGGATGGAACTTTGAACCCTAAACCCTAAATCCTAAACCAGGATAAGCCAACCACACCATTCTGGGCAAGGCGCGGCATTTCGGTCAGCATCTGCACGCAGGCCTGCCACACCTGCAAAGACCCAGATCCCCAAGAGATCCCACAAATGAATCCCGCATAGTAGTAACAGTCTTAATAACTTAATAATAGCGATGATAATCGTAATAATCATAATATATCATAATAGTAAGAGTAGTAGTACTAAAAATAATAGCAATAGAGTCCTGATCCTTCCTTGTCTGGTACAGCCTCTCACTCTTGCCTGTACGCTGCTCCGGGCGTCATGCCAAAATGCGATTGTTCCACCATGAACCAGCGTGAACTGTTGAATATGAGAATTTGCGCCCAAAGCCATGTCGAGGGCGTCCATAAACGGCCGTCTTATGTCAGCAGCAGGCTGACAATGATTTAACGATTCCAGCTACATTCCAGTAGTGTGAAGCGACTGGAAGCACTTCATAAGAGACTGTCCTAAGATTGCAACATGCCATATGCCATATTCAAGAATTTTCCCTGCCATTCCATCAAGAGAGCACTAACTCTGGACATACAAAAAAATTCTACCATGTATGCCCACAGCGCGAGCTCTACAAAATCAAGCCCCCTACGTGTGGGAAGCACCATGGCATCCACAAGAGTAGACCCAGGTCTTTGGCCACTCATTTTTTTTGCGTACAAACCACTTTAGGGTTTAAGGTGATGTCCTCCCTTCAAACCCCGCACACTCTAAAATCAAATCCTCTCAATCTGTTATAATATACCACGATGGGAATGTTGACCCCAAGCCCTTTGAATATTCGGCGGCCCGATGATGTTTAATACTAGAGCAGGGGATTCCTCCTGATGCTAAACACACCCTAACAATCTGTGTGGTCTTTAACATAAGTATAGAGATGAAAAATAATGATACAAACCCAGTAGTGAGAATCATAGTATATAATGATAAAATAATGATTGGTAGTCATTACAATGACAGCAGTAAAATGGCACATCATCTATATGAGGCACGGGAGGTATTTTGTGACGTCAAGGGGACCTGGTTACTGCGTTGAGCTATTGAGCAAATTTCTTAACCCTAAACCCCTAAACCCCCAAACCCTAAACATCCCTAAGCCCTAAAGCCCTAAACATCCCTAAACCCCACACCCTGAACGCTAAACATCCCTAAACCCTGAACCCTAAGCCCCAAATCCTAAACATCTCTCAACCCTAAACATCCCTAAGCCCCGAAACCATAAACCCTAAACATCCCTAAACCCCCAGCTGCACAGAATTTGCCGCCTCGACGTGCTCACTTCTGTAAGCTGCCATCAGCGTCTTCCCTTACTAGGGGGGTTTCCCAAAATTAGGGGTTATAGCGATTATATAAAAGTATATAGGGGTTATATGGGGGTTACGGTTTGGCGGTTTCCGAAAATTAAGGGTACCTTTTGGGGTGTCCCTGTCATAATGATATCTTTCCAAAGGTAGCTCAAAGTGCCAAAGTGCCTTATGTAGGGGTTATATAGGGTTTACGGTTTAGGGTTTCCCAACATTATGGGTACCTTTGGGGGGTCCCTATCACAAGGACTTTAGAACATTGGGATCTATTTGGGGTCCCCCTATTTTGGGAAACTACCATTTGGAGTTTCCAGGCCACTTGAGGGAGAAACCACTTGAGCTCCTGGTAGTCCCCTTAATATCCCCTATAGTAGTAGTCCCCTATATAATCCCCTATACAACCCCCTGTAAGGGGTTTAGACTATCGCTCGTTTGGAGTTTCCAAGCCACTTGAAGAAGAACTCGATTGAAACCCTAAACCCTAAACAAGTTTGAACCCAATTATGCCTGTATTTAGGGGACTTAAGGAGCTTCTGATCAGTTCTAATTGCCCAGAGCAAGAAACTAGCTACAGCTTACCCAAGTACATACTAAGTGAACATATATATATATATACAGAATAGATATATATATATATATGCATATGCATATATGTACTTATTCATACGGGCGTCCAGATATCCAGATAGATAGATACATAGATGGATAGATATACACACAGACCTCTAAGCAGGCGATGCATCGTCAGACGCGTTTGGGAGTAGCATCTGAAGGGCTCGGAGCCCCAAAGACCCTAGGGCCCCTAGGGCCGTTTTAGGGTTTAGGGTCCTGCCCGCCCCCTCTTACTCCAAAACTCTAAACCCAAGAAGGAAACCCCTAAACAAAACTTGAAGGAATGGGTCTCAGCTCGAGCTTACCAAGGTAATCTCCTCCAAATGTCTAACACGAAGTTTAGGCTCTCTTGCGGTATGCAGGATAATTCCTTTAAAAAACCCCTCTACTCCCCTTGCAGACCCAGCTCAGTCGTGGCCAACTCCCCCCCCCGCCATGGTGGGTGGCCTAGTCCAGCCTGACCATCCCGCATGAAATTTCAGCCTTGCTGGCAGTATGCGGCAGGCATTTTTCGTTCCTTCCGGTGGGTTTTGGCGCCTTTGAAGGTCCTGGAGGCCGCTGGAGGCCCCTGGAGCCCCCTGGAACGGCCTGGAAGCGCCTGGAAACCCCCTCACATGCATGGATGAGGCTATGGATGAAGCTGAGTAACCTCTACAGACCCTAATATATGCTATGGCTTACAATATATACTATGTCTTATTTATGGGTTTCGCGTTTTGGGTACACTCAATTGGGATTTGCGGTGGATTTTTGCGAGATACGAGGAGTTTTAGCTACCGTTCTGTGGCTAGACCCCAATATACATTTAGACATGGATGTTTCGCCGATCTGGAAGTCCATATGCCG